CAAGGGGGACAGCAACATCCACCAGCGGGGGGCAACGATTTCCTCACCTTGAACATGGCGGCGCCGAGCAGGCGGTAAGCGCAGCGGACGCGTCGCAGCGCACTGACGTACCGAAAACCAGCCCGCCGGGTTGGTTGGCTCAGACCCCACCCACCGGGCGCCGCGGTAACCCGGCAACGCGGAGGGAGGCGGGGCTTTGCCCTCCCTGTGGCCCCGCCCATCGCCTTCCTGCTGCCACCGGTGTCGCCGCCGGCGCCGTCGCGATGGCGGCAACAGCAGCGGTGGCGACAGCGGCGGCAGCCAGGGTTGAAGAGAGCGAAGAGTTTTGTTTTAGCTTTCGGCTAGCACTTGTATGTGACGATCGAAGTCCTACTTCCCCACTACATGTGTATTTTATATTAAACTGTTATTAATACTGTTTTTTCTTATTATTTTATTAAATCTGTTTCTATTTCAACCCGCGGGTCTCCTTTCGTTTTCCCGATTCTCCTCCTAGGGTGCAGAAGAGTCATCAGGTGATAGGACAACTGTCTAAACGATGGCAAGTACGGAGATCAAGATAGATCCATGCCTTTCTAACCTCAAAATATTACATTAAAAACAATAAAACTAGACCTTTTTTTTCCGTATCTTAACACTCCTTGGTTTCTGCAGCCCAGGATGTGGCATCTCCAGCTCACGCGAGCGAGTCGGACAGGACCAAGTTTTTGCTCACATCTCCTGTGAGGGAAGGTCTCATATACCCTGTATGCTCTCTGACTTGTTACTGAGTGGTAGAAAAATATCAGCAATAATGAGTACTGAATTCTTGTCAGATAAGATAAACCAAGGCAATATTGTGCTCTGATTTAAATCACGGGCAATCTGGTCCCGTCAGTTAATTAACTGCTTCTCAGACTTGTGGGGCAGGAGTTTCCGCCTTTCCTTGTATTCCAGATCTTTTGCAACACTCACGGCCAAGGCGGCAAATACATTAACAGAAATAGAATACTGAGTCCATCAAATGAGGTGACTTACTGAATTCATGTTCACGTTGTGAGAAACAAGCCCACGTATATTTAAAATGTTTTACTGGGGACAAAGCCAGTGGAGCAAAGAATACAGCGCTGGGCACAATGGCACGCTTTGCCTTAGCAGGGGTTTCTTTTTATAGAGCAACAAGGAGATTTCATTGGTTGAGCGGAATGGCGGGACATGACGCAGAAGGACACACTTGGTCTCAGCGGTCCTCTGAGGGGGTTGGTGGAGGCGAAGTCCAAGTTCCTCGTCATCAGGAGTTCTTCACTTAATCCTTATCTGCTGGCTTCCATTCCTCCCCCCTAGTCCATGGGGTTGTTTCATCAGCTCTCCTGCAGCTCCTCCGGGCTCGGCATCCGGCCGTTACCTGATGCCTAACCACAGACCCTCCATTTTGCTTGCCCAACTCCCCACAATGCTCAACCATATGCCCAACTTGTGACAAAAAGGCTTGCTTAACTGTTATAATTTTAGCAACACTAATTTAGCAACTACTTTAGCCTAACTCAATAAAAGTAATTAATTCTTTTTAGCGAAAGCAAAATTCTACTATTACTTCTCACAGCGTGTCATCATTATTTGATCAGTTACAAGGATCTTAGTGCTTGTTGTTTTTAACATTTTGTAAGATCACAGAATCACAGAACGTTAGGAATTGGAAGGGACCTCAAAAGATCATCCAGTCCAATCCCCCTGCCGGAGCAGGAACACCTAGATGAGGTTGCACAGGAAGGTGTCCAGGCGGGTTTTGAATGTCTCCAGAGGAGGAGATATTTATCTTCATACTTAATCTTGGTCACATAACAACAGATTACAAATGCAAACAAGCGCCTTGCTTTTACTGAATACTGTTATTTTTTTAGGTAGCAATTAAAAATTACCTTGAAGCTTAAGATGCAAAGATACTTGAAAGCATTCACCTGTATTCTTTGCTCAGATTAATGGACATATGGAAAATGCAGGTTCCATACGCTGTGCCATACACTTGCCATCACAGCTCTGTTGGGGGTCCACTCCATCCAGACCTGGGGTGAAGGGGTGATTCAGGCTGCCCAAATTTTGAAACCTCGTAGAAGCCTCTGCTAACTGGGGTATGGACTGGCTGTAGGCTTGCACCAGAGGGTTCAGAGCATGTGAACTCTGCTTTGAAGTGCACTCTATCACCTCCTCCTTCCTCCTGGCATGGGGAAGAAAAGCCTACTCCTAATCTAGGCACATAAGTAAGAACACCAAGAAAATAAGGTAGATCCTCTATGAGTTTTCTCATGTCACTGTCATCCACCTCCCCCCTGCTCAAATTGTAGTAATTTCAAATAGCTAATACTGTTTTTAGAATATGAAGAATAGCATCCTATTAGTCCTGGAAAATTTTATCAAAAAGATTTATTATATAAAAGGTAAAGTATTCGAAGAATATGGTACCAAATAATTAATCAGGAAGGGTATTGTGGAAAGACAGATGAGGTACACATCCTCTTATAATCTTAAATTTTCTTTGTGATTACTATTTCTATTGTTTCCTCTTAAAGAAAATTCCTACATTTCTTTATTGCAGTCTCTTTATAGACCTGACAGAATCACCTGTAGTAAGAACAAATATTTTCCAGACTTATGGGGATGTTTAACCATCGCACTGTAGAACTGGGTAATGCTTCTCAAGGAGCTGCCTGTAAATTAGCAGACAGTCCTCCTTGTTTACTGGCACACTGGATTATTGTCAGGAGCACTTAGACGTGAAATAAGATGACTTCAGGTTTGTGCCTTTTATTTTTAAAGCTTTATTTTATTTTTTTGCCTGTATTTCACAGGCAACAGCTGATGCTTACAAGTTAATGGGATATCAGAAATACCATGAACAAATGGTACAAGAGGAGCTTCAGTACCCAAGCCACAGGGTAACAGATGATAATGATATTTTATTATGGATTTGGTTATGAAGATTCCCACTTTAGCAGGGAAAAGATATAATCTAAGATGTAAGTGACCAACAGGTGGAGAACGCTAATGGCCTCTCTCACCTTTGCATTATGGTTTGCACAGTCAGTTATATCTATGGAAAATAAACAGTGTGTGGTGAATATGCCCTGCTCCGGCAGGGGGATTGGACTAGATGATCTTTTGAGGTCCCTTCCAATCCCTAACGTTCTGTGATTCTGTGATTCTGTGTAATATCTGTGAAAAACCAATTTTGCAGTATTTTATGGCAACTTTGTGAGAGCATGGAGGGTGACCTGGTAGTTTGCAAAGCAGTCACATTTCTTGATGTGTTTTACTCATCCTCAGGGAGCCAGAGAAAGAAAATTTTCAAAGCTCAAAATGACACGAGAGCCCATAAGAGGAGCGATGGTGTTGAGGTGAATAACGGTGCCTGCTCTGGTTGGTTCGCAACCAAAGCGGAGTCCCAGGCTGTAGGTGGGACCAGCTGTTTCCCAGCTTTACAGAGGACAGACAAAAGAATATATCAAGTACATTCTCTTTTTAAGTTTGGTACAGTAAATTATTATTATTCAATTGTTTTTTGACATAAAATGGTGTATATTTTACAAAGACGTATTTTTGTGATCTATTTATATTCAGGGACTACACAGCGATTATTGATACAATTATGTAACCCATATAAATATGTGAAGAACAGCTGTTTTATAAAATTTTTTAAACCAAACCATTTTATCAGCTCCAGGATTTTCAGTACATTTTTTTTTCTTTAATGTGGAAGTTCATGTTTGAAGTGATTGAAATGACTGATCAAAAAGAATGGAAAAATCTTAATAGAGAAGACCAATATGAATGTAGTTGCTCTCACGTAGGTGTATTGCTCTCCTACAGTCTACCACTAATCTGGATGAAAGCCCTGTGTACTTTGGTGGCAGGAATAACTGCTGGAGAAGGTCTCTGCAAGATCTCCCTGGGACAACAGTAATATATGCCACAACAGATTACCCACAGCCCAAAACCTTGTCAGACAGACTTAAAAAGGAGCTGAAGCTTCCACTGCTGAGGCCGCAGAATAAAGAGCTTTGGCATGATCAGCTCATGGCTACTTCTAATGTAGGAACCTATACCAAGTTGCAGTTCTATTTTGCATGCCAGCATTTTTCCCTTTCCTTGGTAACTGGCTTTTCTAAATACTTGTGAAAGAAATAATTCCTTCAGAAAGCTGCTGCTTAGAGCAGCTTGGAAATGTTGCCACAGTTCATAAACTATGTCAGTCCAAGCAGAAATACAATTTAAGAAATGTGATCTCTAATCCTTTGCCTTAGCCATTACAGTCTGAGCTTTGATAGTGTTGATTAGATTGCTTATTTACAGTTTATTTTTTGGTCAGGAAAATAAGAACGGTCCTTTACTAGCAATATGACAATTATTTGCCACACATTTATAGGAACAGTACAACAAAAAAAGGATTTGTTGCACATTCCTGCTAATATGTGAGTTTGTAACATCTGCCCATTAAATATAAGCACAGTTACCCACCGACACAGACCACTGGAAAATGTAATTCTGAAAAGCTAATTTATTTTGATGTTCTCCTTTATGATTACTCTTGTTGTGTACTTTAATTTTTTTGTCCCATGCACCAATTCTTCACTTGCCACTACAGTTTTGCCAGCCTGTTAAGAACTTGTATGTAAAATCTTTATAAAATAAACTGTCACCTGCTGCCTCTTTCTGCCCTTTTGTGTGTGTTTTAAGTTAAAAGAATGCTCTCTGGTAGATCTCTCTTCAAGTTATTTTGAAAATACGTAGTTAACAGTAAATGCACAACCACAAGGGCTCCAATAAACTGAACCTTCAGTTGTTAGGCAGCTTCACCAAACGCCGTGAGCCTGGTTTTCTAAACACTCCATGCCAAGCAGAGTCGGAGGCGAGATGCCAGGTATACAGCTTGTCCAGGTTGGTCTCCAAAGCGCACGATCCATTTCTCATGTTCCCGTCACTTTTAGCACATATCTGTTAAGCAGGTAATTGAATGTGCTTTTACAGAGGTGTGTGATGATGGACCTTTCCCAGTGCCTTTACAAAGAGAGTGTAGTTCATATATTCATAAGGATGCTATTTCACTCTTGCTGCTTTATTCACTCCCTAATTTGGGGGTGGGGGAAGTGTTTTGAACAGATTTTTGTATTTAATGACACCATTTTATTTGGAGTGAAACTTACCTCGTGCTTTTGCTTCTCATACTTAAGATGAGTCAGTTATCAATGTTTTCAAAGGTGCTACACTGGCAGCTACAAGGTCTGAAAACATACATTCGGAAAGTAAATGGAATGTTAAGGACAGATGCCATTGCAGAGCTCTTTGTGCTTTCCCACTGACCTACCTTTAATTGCAGCAAAGGCGTTACTGCATTCACATCTGGGGTAAACCAGTACTTGAATTTCAGTCTGTGCTGTGTCATCAGCTCTGTCACCTTCTGACAGCATCCAAAATATACTCAGTGCTTTCCAAATAAAGAGCCTATATTCTAAAACATGGGAGAAGTAGAGAAACATATCATGCAAAAAATACAGTATAATCCTGAATATAGTTTCATTTTTTATATTGTCGTGGTTAAACTCCCAAATGTTCCTTCCCTGATTCAAATCCTTCAATTTCTCACTGCAGCAATCATCAGCTCCAGTTCCACATTTTTAAATTACTCCCTTCCAGCACCAATGAATAATTCTGTTAACAAGTTGTCGATACTACCAACAGAGATGTCAGCTAATGCATGGTGCAGCAATCATCCTTTAAAGCACTGATATCCGATACTAGTAGCAGTGAGAATACAAACACCTTTTTGATGCTCAATAAGCACCCATCACAACAAAGTCCAACTCCTGTCAAAATGCAAATGCATTTCAGATTTCAGTTGAGATGGATACATTTCAGACATTAACTGAGGCTAAAGGTGAAAAGTCTCACATCTGTCACCAGCCTCTTTAGGTATTCAGTGCATCCAACCTTTTTAACTGAAAAAAATATTTTGACCACAATCCTTAATTTCTTAGCAAGGAGATGTGACTATCTTTACTTCATTTGCCTAGAAATGTATCTACATAAATATATATACACATATATATATAAAATGCAGTACCTTATTTACCAGAAGGACAGTTTCTAGGTCTACCAAATAATGTCTAACTAAAGGCACACATTCCTTTTACTGTGCTGCCTCTTTAATAATTAACAGTGACATGCTGAGCTTACTTTGTTACTTATAACTGACTTTTAGGATGATCATTTTTGAATTATTTTCATTTCTATTTTACTTGCTACCAGGGCACATGCTGTAGCTCTCCCATGAATGAGAAGTAGAACATGCTTACTGTATATACATATACCATTACATGATTATTACAGTCTATTACAGAAAGTGTCCTTGTGTCTTCATTTTTTGCTGCTAGGAAATGGCATTTTAATGTTTCTAACAGTATCCACATGCACTTGTAAGGGCAAAAGGAAGTCAGTGAAGTACAGTGAAGTCTGCGGGACCTACCACTCACACCACATGGACCAGCTGGAGTAGGCGGCATGTACCACTACACGCTGTGCAACATGTTGTATGATACAAGTTACTGAGAAACAGGCAAAGATTTGTGTACTAGAATAGTGAAGCCTGTACTCATGTTGTTAGCTAAGTCATCTTGAGCTCTGATTTTCTTCCCCATTGCGCCCCTAGGCTGGGGCTTGAAGCCTTACAGGATCCCAAGGAGCAGAAGAGCAGCAGGGGTTTGTTGTGCAGCTCAAGCAACAAGGGAGACACAGCTGAATGAATCCAGATTTCTCCTTCACTGATGCTGCCACCGTCATTTGATATAATGAGAAAAGCATAACAATAAACTTTTATTATTCTATTTCCAGAAGGCAGAACTTGGTTTCATGGCTTTATTTGTTCAGTCTAGAGTAAGACTCTTTTTGAGAGGAAAAGCCTCTATTTGGCTTTTCCAGATCTTAATTTTCATACAATTCATCATTTTACTCTTACTGGCCCACTACAGTGTCCATGCAGCCAACATGTCACTCTTCTCAAGCTCAGCAGAAGCTAGCAAAAATGAAGAGGGCAAATTTGATTGAGAGAGAACGAGAGGCACTAGGCAAAACAGGAAGCAAGAAGTCCTTTCCAGGTCATAATCCTGTGTTTCTGCAGATAGTACTCATGAGTCAGGAAGCCCTACTACCATTCCTTGCTCTCAGGTACTGCAGCATTTGTTCACGCATGTTTCCATTCTTTTGACTCACCTTCATCAAAAACCATTGTGTCTGGTACTTTCAACTACTGCTTCCATTCTGGGAGCATCTTCCACAAAGTAGTAACACCCAACCTTGAACATAGCTTAATCCTGAAGCACATCTAGGAAATCAGAGGTTTTCCACAATCACTAGTGAAAACCGTCATTTTGATAGTTTTCTCCAGTGACCCCTTATATTTACCATGTGTTAGACTGCTTCTCGTAATGTGAAGTAATTTACATCTTTGCCCCCACACACTATGGAGGAAGGCTATGGCTGGCATAATTGCAGATTATGCTGTAGGAATGGAAGGAGCACTGACATTGCCTTTACTTTTAACTGTTTCTCTCAATCTTGTCAGTGTCATAAATCAGTACAATATGGTGCTAGCACAGGTAAAAACCAATGCTTTAGCTTGCTCTGGCAGTTTTACAGATGAGAAAAACGTCACATTTCTCAAGTGTGATTGAAGAGGTTATTATTCCTCTGTGTGTAACAATGCATGCTATTAGACAGGCACAGAAACTGGATGTTACAAATAGGAGCGACTTCGCTGAACATCAAGGGATGGCAATTTCACAAACTGAAAAGCCTGAGGATGAATCTATTGTTACAGAAGAATGGGAATATGAAGCAGGTAAATTGTACACCCTGTCCCAGGCATTCTCTCTGGAGAGTACTGGACAATTTCCATCCACAGCAGATGCGTACATCTTCAGAAGTTAAGGCACTGGAAAATTGCTAACCCTTCTAGTCACTTCAATGCATTCTGCCCTGCTTTGAGGGCAAAGCTGCAAACCTGAAAAGCATGGCTTCCTACTACAGTTTAACAAGTTTAGCAAAACGTACATTCTCGTAATTAATTTTTACCATGGGAAGAATAAAAATCTCTGCACTGCAAAGCAAGGAGAAAACCAGAATTGAGCAACTGCGATCATGTTGCAAGATACATAATCTGCAAAGTACAGCTGGTTGATTATTTGGGTGTTAACAGATTTGTACTGAGATTTCTTTGGCTGGAGTATTTATTTAACTTATGTCAAAGTCAGCCTCGCTCCCCTTGTCTTTAGAGAACAGTACAGAGCCAAAATCCAGCTCCTTCAAAAATTAGCTAAAACATTTCTAATAAGGATATTAATTGGATTAGCTCCCCACTTTAAGGCCATGAAAAGTCATTAAACGAAAAGCTATAGTTTAGTTAATTATCATCACCTATTTTTTTCTGACTACACAATTTTTTTCAGTGTTTAGGATAATCTGTCAGGAGCAACAGTGGAGGAGAAACTATTACTTGGCAGTAACTGTTCCTGACTCCAATAAATTAACTGAGAATCAGGAGGGGGGAGAAAGGTTTTATATTCTAAAATATCTTCTTCTGAAACTTAAGTTTTCTATGTTTTGGGTTTTATTATAACACTAAAAATTACCATGGGAAGTTAAAAGAAGTTCTTGGTATCAAGTTGGCACCTCTGTTAGATTAAAAAAAATAAATCCTTGCAGAACTACCAGTAAGAGCCAGAGGAAGACATGAGAGCATGTGCTACATGAGGGAAGCCCCACGGGAGCCCCTCTGCCGACCAAGGATACCCAAGTGATTAGAACTCCGTCCTAGGAATAAATTGTCCAACAGGGCTTTCCAAGAGGTGTGAGAAGACAGCAGAGCAATTTCTTGCTTTCCAGGAGTGAAAAATGAAGGCCATCACGACACCAACACAGAGGAAACCGCCTAGGCCGTGCCTTGCACTGACACCAGCATTACCACCACAAGCACAGTCCCATGTATTTGAATGACTTCGGCCATCTGGGAAGGCAAACACAAGAGGAGTCACTGACCA